CCTGTGTACTTACATAGTAACTAGATGTGTACGTAGTATGTAACCACAGTGTAAGTACACATTGGTACATAGTATATAGAGCTGTAATATTTCTGTATCTACATGCATGTAACAACCCTCCGAATGGTTTGTGTAAGTACAAATGTGTAACAGGACATATATAACTACATTTTGTAACAACAATATGTATAAGAGTAATTGGAACAATTTGAGATGGGTAGGTTTAGGGCTGGAAATGTGATCCAGGGGGTGGAAATGGGTAGGTTTAGGGATATGTAAAGTGGAAGGAGTTGGATCTCAAGTTGGTGCCAAGTACCTGGGTTGTTACATATGTGTAGTTACACAAACATTACAGCTGTAGATACTAGAGGTCGACCGATAGTGGATTTTGCCGATACACTGGCCGATACCGATAGTTTTTAAAATGGATACTGAACAAAAACTAAAATAATGCTTTATTAAAAAAACTGTACTGAACCATACTACTAGTAGTAGTAGTAATAATAATAATAAAAACAATGTGTACTTACACTGTGGTTACATACTATGTACACATTTAGTTACTATGTAAGTACACAGGTATTAGGGCCACTTAATATAAAGTGGGACACATTATTTTATCGGCAAATCGGTTTTGAAAATGACCGCTATCGATAAAAAAAAAAAAAAAGCCTAATATCGGCGCCGAAAATCTATGCACTATCGCGTTCATAATCGCAGGCGATTCATTGCCGATTATGAACACAATATTGCGTAGCTTGTCGGTGAACTACAGCTTTCTGTATTAAATGCCGCTCCATCTGAAAGCACGTGCTGGAGATTTACTACTAATCACAGAACCGGCTTTACTGACGAGATGTGCATGAAAATTGCATTTGATTATTTGCCCAGCCCTAACTGGCATATACAATTGATTACCACCATCAGAGATCACAGTAGGTCTGTTTTGAAAGGTTTATAAGTTATCATTAAAATTAATTTACCTATGAAGAAAATGACTGTTGCACACTAGTGCATTAGTGGCCACCCACTTTTTCAGCAGCGCTGGTCCCAGATGTAAAAATCCCATTATTTTTTTTTTCAATAGAGGAACTGATTTTTAAGGATAACTTAAAAACCTTTAAAGACTTACTATTATAACGTTGTTAACCAATGTAATATGCTTTAGTTGAAGCCATCATCCCACATTTTCAACTTATTTTAAAAATAATCATGTTTAACAGCAGAATTCCTGGCATTTGTGTATATATGCATATTTTGCAATACATGTAAAATGTTTATATATATATATATATATACACACACACACACACACAATCAATGGCATTAAATCAATAGTTATAAATGTATGTGTCATTGTTAATTTGCCATTTGTAATGCTGGGATTGTAGTTCTTTTCTGTAGTACCTTTGTTTTTTATCTGATTTTCAGAGTTTTACTAAGTAATGTGATTCACCTTGTAGCTGGTTGGTTTGTATACAAGACTGAAATATAAAATAAAAAATTAAACTGTTGCTCTCTATGGAAGCTGTGCCGTGAAGGTGTGTATAAAACTGCTGGAAAGCTGTTGATCAATCAGCATCCAAAACCAGAACTATTAGTTTTATAATTACAATTCCTGATAACAGAAGTTGAATTTACCAGTTTTATTGCAGTAACAACTTGTTGGGTCATTCCGTGTCAACTCAACCAGAGGTAACCGGCTCAAATTTTATGATTTTGATTTTATTAATATTTTTTTCTGGTAAAAGAAATACATGAATGAAGATAAAAGCCAAAATATTAAATGCCATGGATGAATATTTAGTGAGGGGGGTCAAAATGACATTTTTCACCTGAGATTTGGAGCCAAATTACAGAAGGGTAAAAATGACTATAAATATGGCAGCATAATCATATTATTTCTGCACAGAGTTTGGTTGGTCTGATTGTAAAATCTGTTGTCTTTAGCCATCTTTGTTGCATTATATGACAATGGTGACCATTCAAAAAATGGGAAAAAGCATATGCTGCCATATTTCTTAAGTTGTTTTTACCTTCCTGTAATTTGGCTGTGATTCTCAGGTGAAAATTGTCATTTTGATCCCCCTCTACAGTACAAAACTGTGGATTGCTCAGTAAATATACATCCATGACATTTAATATTTTGGCTTTCATCACTATACATCTTTTTCTTTTTTCAGAAAAAAATATTGACAAAATCAAAATTTTGAGACGGGGAAGTTTCTGAAATTTGGTTGATTTGACACGGAATGACCCTGTTGTATGTTTTGTTAAGGGTAAAAGATCCCACAGAATATTGTAGTTACAATAAGAGTGATCATTTGTGATGATGCTGTTCAGCCAAGAGTCTCATTCTTCATAGGTGTGTTCAAGGAATTTCAAGGAGTCTTTATTCTGTGATGTCAGGGGTAATCCGGTTTTGGTTTTCCATCTATTACTTTTTCGGTTTTTAACCACTAAATTAACGGGAAGTAACAGGAACCACTGCGTAAATGTTCTCAAAGTGTGGTTTCCTTTGCTCTGTTTGCAGGTGAACTCAGAAGAATATGCTAATGCCGAGGGTGAGGCCACTGTGTGGACACGCATCATCCCTGAAGAAATTCTGGCAAAGATCTCAGGAGGGAAGGAGGTTCCAGCAGAAAGGATCACAGTGTGGATTGATCCACTGGATGCCACTCAGGAATACACAGGTCTGGTGCAACCCTTTATTCCTAATGTAAATCAATTGCCTTTAAACTGCAGCCTTTTCAGGAAAGAAGCAGGAAGAAATATAATATATCACATTATTTATGTAGGTTATCTATGTTTGTGTTTCTTCAGTGCACATGTGCTGTACCAGGATGTAAATCCTGTTTGTGCTTTCAACAGAAAATCTCCAGAAGTATGTCACCACTATGGTGTGTGTGGCTGTGGACGGGGATCCTGTTATAGGTGTGATTCACAAACCCTTCACTGGGTACACAGGTGTGTTAATTCGAGGTTTACAGACATATTCAAAACCAGATTACGCAGGTGGCTTTGGATCCTGGATCCAGGAGGCATTATGGGAGTGCTATGACGTTCAGAGAAATAAATGATTTGTGGTTTACACGGTTCATTTTTTGCACGTTTTTGTAAATTATTGGTAACAACAAATATGTGATTATTTGACAAGAACTACACAGTGTTTAATGATTAACATTAACAATGGGTAATGATTAAGTGCATTATCAATATATTAATGTGAGACTTTACAATAGCCTATTACTATTATGATTTCTAGTGTCTTTAATGACAATTATAATGGTTCACTATTATCTATGAGGGCAGTAATGGTCATTATACCTAAACTGTTCTGTTCTGACCTTGTTTTTTTAATGAATTCACACTGTGGTGCTCAAACGTACGTTCTCATCCTCAGTATGGGGTTTCGTTGGAGAGGGATCCAATGTGGTACCTCGTTCTTCCTACAACACAAACTTTCCTAAGGTGATCGTTTCACGCTCACACTCAGGCAAGGTGAAGAGCTTCGTTCAGGTGGCCTTTGGCAACAATACAGAAATTATACCAGCAGGGGGTGCAGGTACTGCATTCTGTAAATCATCTCCTTTTGAAAAAAATGTTTCAAACAAAAATGTACATTACCATTCAAATGTTTGGGGTCAGTAAGATTTTAATTTAACTAAAGTAACAGTAAAGGTGTTTTAATGTTACAAAAATAAAAATAAATAAATCATATAAATGCTGTTCTTTTTGGGTGTTTTCACACTTGGTCCTTTTCAGGGGTCTGAGCGCGGTTCGTGTGATTTTTGGCCCATATGTGAACACTCCAAATGATCTCAGACCCCTCAGAAGTGAACCGAACCGAGACCATCTCGGGAGGTGGTCTGAGTACGGTTCGCTTTCGGCTAAAGGTACGGTTCGCTAAAAACATGCATAGTGAACACAAATAGGCCCGGGATCACTTGATTTTTCCATTTGCAAATTCCAGTGTAGTTTGGCCATCATATGTTTCCGTACAAATCAGCTGTTCATAGTGGCTGCTTCTGGCAGATCTCTATAAATTGTTCGCTCACAACGTACGCTCGTTTATTTTCATTTCAACCGCTTCCAAACTGTGTAAGAGAGATACTACTGTGCGCCTTGCCAGTTTAAACTTTTTGATATAGGCTACGGGCGCGCACATCCCAGTGGGGCCAAACTACACTCTTTAGCGTTTATGGTTTCAACTGTCAAAAACACCCATGGTTCACATAAACACAGTTGGTTTTGTCTCAATCGAATGTAAACATCTGGGAAAGAAATCGCATGTGTAACTGATCTGCGCAGTATGTAGTTCTAGTACAGCAGCCTAATATGAGAATTAGGGATGGGTACCAAAACTCGGTATTTAATCGGTCCCGGGGCTAAATTATGAAAGACCGGAGTATCGATAAGCTCTGACGTTACCGGTTCTGCTATCGGTACTCAGGGTGGCCGCGGGTCCTTAAAAAGTCTTAAAATGTCTTAAATTCAGATTCAGTAGGTCTTAAATATTTCTGGTCACAACCCTCTGTAGTTACCGCGTCATCAGAGAGAATTGCGGTTACAGAATACAGTCGAACACCAGCTCGCTGACCAGCCTCCGAACTACTTTAAATGGGTTCATGCAAGTTTACTGAAAAACGGCTTGAGAATTGTACTTGTCCGACAGGACTAATAGCCTGAGTAAAACTTAAGTGACAAAATATAATCACGCATCAAAACGCGCGAATGATTCTTCTGATTTTATTACATTCAGCTTAAACAGCGATTGATAATTGATAGTGTATTTCTATTATCAATGTCGCGCTGTTGAGGCTCGTGCTGCCTGTCTCTGTGAGAGACTTTCATGGAGAAATCAAATCAAATGAGCGTACGGCACGCATAAAGAAACTCACAGAACAAACATATTGAGGTAAAAATTCAAAATGTTTAGTTTATTTATAGCATGATATAGTTAAGTAACATACTATGACAAGGGATCTATTTTGCTGAATATTTTCACGATTGCAAATGTTACATTGATTTTAGTTCAACAAACAAGTAGTAAAGTATATGAAGTTACTTACATTTTTAGACACAATTGACTGTTTTGTTCTATTTCACCAACGAAAATAGCTCCAAACAAAGATCAGACCAGCATTATTGTGCACATTCTCCAAGCAACACTGGGGTTTTTGTTACTGAATGATTCAGCGGTTTGAAGGAATCTGTTTAATGAATAAGTGACTTACCGTCGGTGATTGTTGTAAGATGCCGTCTTTACTGTTGCTAAATTGCGGGACATGTTTGATAATAAAATGTTGAAAGCACAATCCGCACAAGAGACGCTGTTCCTCAGGCTGAAATGTGTGCGCGTGGCATGCTCCAAAACGGACAAACAAATTACACTTTGAGCTTCGGCGGTAAGAGTAGTAATACCGTTAAAACCTTAACGATACCCATCCATAATGAGAATCACTAGAATCTATTATTCATATGATTAATAATATGCATTTTAATTTTTTTCATTTGATTAGTAAATTTCTTACTTAAATGCTGCATTTAAGGATACCTGTACTGTACCTGAAAAATCTAAAGCAGTTTATTATATTGTATTTTATTTTATTTTATTTGTCCAATTTATTTATTTTTTTTCTAACTCAATGTCAACATGCCTTTTCCACTGGTCCTTCTTGGTATCAAATTTAAGGACATAAAAAGTACAATGGAGACAGAAAGACAATTGTCATGTAGCATAATGTGATGATTAAAATGAAAAAGGCTATGATTTCATTGGATAAATATGAGCGCTACACGTTTCAAAGTTTATCTTTATGCAGTTCTGAAAGCGCCACCTGCTGGCAGAGAATGAATTAGCATTTTTTAACAGCCCTTATGTTGGTTTAAAATAATTGATATTAAACCAGCCATTAAACCATTAATATAATAATGGATACATTTGATTTTTGACTCTTTTCTTAAAAATGGTTTGAAATTTGAAAGGCTGAAATGTGACCTTTTATTTCATTTTATAAAATATTTTTTCTATCTGAACTGTAAATCATGCTTTTTACAGTCATTTTAAAGCATTGCCCCACCCCTCTCATATGGCATTAATTTTATCGGTGTAGGTCTTAAAAAACAGTCTTAAAAAGTCTTAAATTTGAGCTTAAAAATCCTGCAGAAATCCTGTGCTATAAAATAAACATGATTACATAGACAAGGAAAACAATTCAAAATAAATATTACAATGGTGTACGAAACTTATATTTTTGTGCAAAAGATAAAAATATTCCAGTTTTGGAGGTCATAATGTCAGCCATCAAACACTGAACTGGACTAGATCCAAAAAGCAACAGTCTGAACACAGAGGTCTGAGACACCATTACTGCTTAAGTGGACCAAAAAAGGATCTGAGTCCTCTTTCAGGAACTGCGACAGTGTGAACACAAAGAAAACTGGGTCCTTTTTCACTTGGTCCACCTCTTGGTCCACTTAAAGGGGTCTGGGTTTGGTTCTTTTAAAGAGGACTCAAGTGTGAAAACACCCGTACACTTTATATTTATCAAAAAGTCCTGACAAAAATGTATCGTTCTTTCCACAAAAAGTTTAAGCTACACAACTGTTTTTAACATTGGAAATAATAATAAATGTTCCCTTTCAGGAACTCAAGCTGCATCGAAACGCTATGGGAACGTCTTCAGCGTGACCATGCTCTGAATCACGTGTAATCAGTCCAATGGATGGGCGAGATGTCACGGGTGGGGTGACATAGTGACCAGGATGCTTAAAAGCATGTGCGGTGGATACAGCGGCAGCTTTCTGTCATTCAGCAAGCACTCTGCGTGTGTCAGTCACTATTTGTTGCGAGTCTTAATTGGTGTTACTTGTCCACTTTATAAGCACCATTATGTCAAAGCTTCAGCCAAAAAGAAACATTTGGGCGAGAGCAGGCAGCGTTTCAGGCTGTGTATTCCTCCCTACCCGCGCTACAAAAAAAAAAAAAAGTTTCAGGTGGGGACACACACAGTTTGTGTGTTGTCTGCTTGGGAGCAAAGCACACAGAGTCAGTTCTCGAGGGAGCTGACTTCCCGCATTGCGAGCGTTTGTCACTGCGTTTGCTTCGCTCTCGGAAGGCTCTCTTTGAGTGAGCCTCGTGGTGCCGGCCCCGCTTTCGCCAAGGCGGTGCGGCGGCTGTGCTCGTGGGGATCGCAGATGGATCTGGTGGAGGGAATGGAGACGGCCGTGTCCCTTTCTCCTTCCTTGCCCACCAGATCCAGTGCCAGTTGCATAAGAAAAGTTGCAGGTGGGGACACACACAGTTTGTGTGTTGTCTGCTTGGGAGCAAAGCACACAGAGTCAGTTCTCGAGGGAGCTGACTTCCCGCATTGCGAGCGTTTGTCACTGCGTTTGCTTCGCTCTCGGAAGGCTCTCTTTGAGTGAGCCTCGTGGTGCCGGCCCCGCTTTCGCCAAGGCGGTGCGGCGGCTGTGCTCGTGGGGATCGCAGATGGATCTGGTGGAGGGAATGGAGACGGCCGTGTCCCTTTCTCCTTCCTTGCCCACCAGATCCAGTGCCAGTTGCATAAGCATATTATGTCTAATATTATAATGAGCAGCATTTACTGGGGAGCGGAGCTCGCGCAGTCAGCTCTCGAGGGGGCTGATTGTGCTTTTCCCGCTGCAAGCGCTCCGTTCTCGCGAGGCATGCTCCGAGGAGTGTGTCCGTGCCTGTGATCTTGCGTTTCCGGTCCTGCTGCTGCTGAGGCAAGGCGGCGATTGAGATCGCGGGGATAGCACATGATCTGGCGGATGGGTTGGAGATGGGCTCGTCCTTTCTCCACCCACATTCCCTAGATCTAGCGCTCTCTCTCAGGGTTTGGAAGCCCTGCAGTTTCTTTCCCCTTTGAGTGAGAGCTCGCTGCTGCAGCTATCTTTCTCCGAGGAGATTGATATTGTTTGTATAACCGAGTGGCTCGCGCGTTGTCGAGGCAACGCATGCATTACGTCATTCTCGTTTTTTATGAATCGTTTCACACCAGACCATGTTTGCTTGTCTGGTTGTTTGGCTGCATTTAATTCTGAGGAATTACATTAAGTATTTCATCTGATTATGAGAAGTTAGATACAGGAGCTCTTGGGATAAAATTCTTGAGTGAGAGCATGTGTTTACCTCTCTTCCACCGAGGAGCTTGAGGTGGTCAGCAGGGGCTGCTGGGCAGGAGCAGCCCCAACCAATCGTGTTCCAGCTCCTCATTCAGGAAGCGTCACTTCTCGTGCTCCCCAGAATTTAGAGTCAGTGTGGCGCTCCCGGGCCGAAGGCTTCTAGCAGAAGGCGGATCTGCGGACCGTCATTCTCGCTGGATAGTCTTCGGCTAAAATGTCCTGACGCCTAGGGCCCAGGACTTCTGAGGGCCGGCCCCCTCTGAGGAAGAGCAGTGTACACCTCATTACACGGTGCCCATCTCTCCTCAGTGCCCTCGGGAGACCGATCTGCCAACCCTGCCAGCTACGGTGCTTCAGGGCGCAGCGGTATCCGGTGAGCGCCTCTCTCAGTCACCGCCCGGAAGCGTAGCAGTACTG